GCCACCCCTAGGACTGGCAGGTCTTCCTTGAGCCTTTGGGGTTTGGGATTTAAGCAGCATAGGCCTTAGTCAGAGGAGAAAAAAATACCTTACCTCACCATCCACATGGGGAAACAGGGGCCTGGAAAGTCAAAGGACTTGCCAAGGTCTCTCAGCATCTCCTGAACTGGAATGTGGTTTTCCAAGAGTCCCCTCAGGTCCTGGACCAGGCTTCACCGGTGCCTGGGTGTGCAGCTGTATTGGTCAGCAGGGCTCCCTCTGCTGCGATAACAAATGAACCCCACATCTGAGCACCTTCGAACGGTCAGTTTGTTTCGCATCCAGCAAAGTCTGCTATGTGCCCAGGCAGTTCTTTTAGTTTTTGGGGGACAAGAGTTTCTCTGTGTTGCCCAGGCTGGAGGGCAGTGGTGCAATCTCAGCTCACTGCAGCCTCCGCCTCCCGGGTTCAAGCGATTCCCCTGCCTCAACCTCCCAAGTAGCTTGTATTGTAGACGTGCACCACCACCCCCAGCTAATTTTTTTTGGTGTATATATACATATATATACACACACAAACATATATATACACATACATACATATATGCATACATATACACATATATTACACACACACATATATACACATGCACACACACAAATTTTTAAAAAGTGTATTTATTATTATTATTATTATTATTATTATTATTTTTGTAGAGACCGTGTTTTGCCATGTTGGCCAGGCTGGTCTTGAACTCTTGACCTCAAGTGATCCACCTGCCCTGGCCTCCCAAAGTGCAGGGATTATATAGGTGTGAGCCACCACACCCAGCCTCAGGAAGGAATTTTTAACAGCCGAATCCTCTTCCACTGTGCACTGTTCACGTTCATCGTCAGTTCCCCTGGATGGGTGTTTAAGGCATTTCCAAAGTTCTGATATTAAAAACACGGATGCAGTGAGTTTCTCTCTGCATTTCCCCTTGTTGCCGTGTGAATGTGTCTGTGGTATAAATCCCTAAAAATGGAATCGCTTGGTCAAAGGGTGGATGTATTTAGCAACCTGATGGCTTTCCAGGAGGCAGGTGCTGCCTCCCGGTCACGAGAAGCTTTTAAGAAGAGCTACTGATGGAACCCAAGTTGGAGTCCCAGAGACCAGGGTGAGTTTTCTGTCCCAGGGGGTTTTCAGATGGGACACTGGGGAGGAGAAGCAGAAACAGGGGCTGCTCTGCCCGTCTGAACTCTATGATCCCAGTACTAATACTGGTAGCTGTGCCATCCCCAGTATACAGACAGCACCGTGCTCTAGGGAGGGTGAGTCATTGGCCCCCAGCTGCCCAGCAAGCAGCATGTGACCCCCCAGTTCCTAGCCAGGCCTGTGTCCTCTTGGGTTCGGAGATCCCAGCCCCCTGCTGTGATCCTCAGGGGTCCCTTCTTGACTGGCATCTCCCAGAGGCACTTGTGTTCCCCAGAGCTTGCTCTCCGCAAGTTTCAGAAACTCACCGCCGCTTGGAGACTCCACTGGGTCTAGCTCTCGGCTGCTCTGGTTGCGCAACCACTTTCTGCATGTTTTTCTTTTGTGATTTTCACATCTGCCTCATCTTTCTGCAAGAGCATCTTGGTAGTTATACAATTTTTGTCTTGATTTTAAAATCTTCAGCCAGGCACGGTGGCTCACACCTGTAATCCCAACACTGAGGCAGGTGGATCACGAGGTCAGGAGTTCAAGACCAGCCTGGCCAAGATGGTGAAACCCCGTCTCTACTAAAAATACAAAAATTAGCCTGGTGTGGTGGCAGGCGCCTGTAATCCCAGCTACTCGGGAGGCTGAGGCAGGGAATTGCTTGAACCCGGGAGGCGGAGGTTGCAGTGAGCTGAGGTTGCGCCACAGAGCTCCAGCCTGGGCAACAGAGTGAGACTCCAGTTCAAAAAAAAAAAAAATCTTTCTTCTTTCTTGGTTGGACAATCTCGCTATTGTTTCTGAAAAAACAATACACCCTTATTGTACCATAAATTGATGAGTTCAAGCAACACTGGAAACTACAAGAAAGAAGGTAAAAGTGGTCAACATGCCTCACCCGGAGATGACTCTGGTTAATGTCTAGGTGGACGTCCTTATGTAGAGTGTACACATTTCTCCCCATCCCCTCTAAGGACAGTGAAAATCTCTTCCTTTCTTGCTGAAGGTGGGGGTGTGTAAGTCACTGGAGTGGATTTGAAGGCCTGAAAATCTCCATTCCCTCCCCTCCCAGGGCATAAACAAACAGCCCCCCAGCACCTCTCCCGCCACTGGCAGGTTGAAAGCCACCGCTCCAGCTCCGGGGAGCAGGGCCTGGTGCCTGCTAAGCAGGTGCTAATGATTCTCCCATTCCCAAAGAAAGTTCCATTCACTCCCCAAGGTTCCACTCCCCTACCTGCCAGACACCCCAGTTTGTGTGTTGAGTTCACACAAAGCCATGTTGGCCTCTGTCTGCTTTGTGGTTCTGTCTCCACCCCCCACCCCCCCATCAGCAACAATTGACTTTTTCTAAGAGCAGAGCAGGCCCCAACTTGGGCCTGGGTGGCCCCATTTGTCTGAGCCTCTCTGGTGATGTAGATGGTTGGTCCACCCCTGGGACGTCAGGAGCTTCCTGGGAGGACCTTCGCCTGCAGGGAAGAAAGAGCCTGGCCTTGCTTCTCAGGGA